CCGCCGCTCTCCCTCCTCCCGCCCCCCCCCCCCCCCCCCCACCCCGCACACACACAGGTACACACACCTCTTGACAGAGACCGCATATGGAAGACGAGGGGTACAGCTCGTGCGGGAGCAGCGGGAGTGTGTCGTCGTCGTTCTCGTCTGTTGACTCTGATGCTGTGGCTGGGTTGTATGGCGGGAGTGGTGGGAGCGTGTCGAAGCCGTTGTTGGCGAGCCGAAGGATGGTGGCCGAGGACATTGGCGCCAATCTCCCTCTTGTCCCTGCTCTGACAGAGCTTTGCATTGGTGCTCTGGTGGCTCACTTTGATACCCATCCATGTCTTGCTCAGCTGCCGCGCAAGTACCAGGACAAGGTCCTGGCTCTCCTTGATCCCCGCCTCCCGCTCCCGCTCACGGCTCCCATCATCGCCCACGAGTCGTACTGGAAGCGTGTCGTCCACGCCCGCCTCGGCCCTGATGTCGACGTCTCGGATCATGGCGGCTCGTGGAAGCGGGCCCTGTTTGAGATCCTCGTCGCTCGTGCTCTGGCAAAGTGCTCGGGCGAGCCCGGCCCGGATCTGCTCCGCCTGGTTGCTCTGGGCGCTCCGCACATCAAGGCGCTCAAGGTCGAGGTGCCTGGCGATGCCAGCCTCGGCGTCTTGCTCAAGGGCGCGCATGCGCTGCCGCGGCTGGCGCAGCTGCGGGTCAACTTTGGCGCGGGTGAGCTGGGTATGGGCTATGATGCCAGCTTGCTGCGGGCATCGACCCCGGCAGTGCGTGCGCTTTCGGGCGCGCTGGTGGCCAACAGCGAGCTTGTGGTTCTCGACGTGGTCAACTCGGGCCTCGACGACGCCATGACGCGGGTCCTTGTAGCCGGCTTGTTGGAGAACCACTCGGTGACCTCGCTCTCGCTCGCGCACAACAAGATCGGCGACCGCGGCGCGCGTGCATTGGCCAAGTACATCGCCACCTCCAACTCGGTCCTCGCCGAGCTCGATCTGGAGGACAACGTCATCGGTGAGGCCGGCGGCGTGGCGCTGGGCCACGCCCTCCACACCAACTCGCCGCTCCTCGAGCTCAACCTCCGCCTCAACCGACTCAGCGACGGCTGCGCGTACGTATGTGCCGGGCTAGTCAACAACGCGACGTTGACCTCGCTCAATCTCGCCGCCAACTCGCTCGACACTGTCCAGGGTGTGACGCAGCTGGCCGAGCTCGTCCGCCACAACGATACCCTCACCGCCCTCGACATATCTGCCAACGCCATCATGTCCAAGCTCGGCGCCAAGCTTAAGGACGGCATCGAATCCAACGAGACGCTCCTCACCATGGACACTCGATTCTGCCAGCTCTCGCGCGAGGCCGAGCTTGCCATCGACAACGTCCTCGCCCGTAACCTTGAGCGTTCCGGGAAGAGAACGGGCACTACGAGTAAAGGTGATGGCGGAGTGTAGTGAAGGATTAATGGATGTTGTTGATGCAGGTAGAGCAGGCTGATGCAGGTAGTGCAGGCTGATGCAGGGAGTGCAGGCTGATGCAGGTAGAGCAGGCTGATGCAGGTAGTGCAGGCTGATGCAGGAAGTGCAGGCTGATGCAGGAAGTACAGGCTGATGCAGGTAGTGCAGGCTGATGCAGGAAGTGCAGGCTGATGCAGGAAGTACAGGCTGATGCAGGTAGTGCAGGCTGATGCAGGAAGTGCAGGCTGATGCAGGAAGTGCAGGCTGATGCAGGGAGTGCAGGCTGATGCAGGGAGTGCAGGCTGATGCAGGGAGTGCAGGCTGATGCAGGGAGTGCAGGCTGATGCAGGTAGTGCAGGCTGATGCAGGGAGTGCAGGCTGATGCAGGGAGTGCAGGCTGATGCAGGAAGTGCAGGCTGATGCAGGAAGTGCAGGCTGATGCAGGGAGTGCAGGCTGATGCAGGGAGTGCAGGCTGATGCAGGGAGTGCAGGCTGATGCAGGTAGTGCAGGCTGATGCAGGTAGTGCAGGCTGATGCAGGGAGTGCAGGCTGATGCAGGAAGTGCAGGCTGATGCAGGGAGTGCAGGCTGATGCAGGGAGTGCAGGCTGATGCAGGAAGTGCAGGCTGATGCAGGGAGTGCAGGCTGATGCAGGTAGTGCAGGCTGATGCAGGGAGTGCAGGCTGATGCAGGTAGAGCAGGCTGATGCAGGTAGTGCAGGCTGATACAGGAAGTGCAGGCTGATGCAGGAAGTGCAGGCTGATGCGACAGGGTCAGCCAATTCAAAAATTGTCCATGTTCTCTGCTGATGCGGCGAATGGCGTTTTCCCGATGGGCGGCGAAAGTGAGCCGGTTGATCACGCGCATTTGTGTGGAGGGAGTAGAGGCCAGGCTCGGGGAGGCGGGAGGGAGGTATGGACATACTTGACGACACCAGCAGTTCAGAGGTGGACGAGGGTGTTCGTGCGTGTGGCCATTATTCCTTGCTCTTCTTTCATATCGTCTTCCGTGATGGGTGCGGAGGGAGGCCGTGGGCAGGGGTGTGGCCCTGTCCGTCGCCCCGCCGGTGATTGTTCCCCGCTGTCAGCACCCTTGCTGTTGGGTACGGGCGGGGGGTATGGGCAGTGTGACCAGCATGCAGCTGCAAGGAGAAGGAGGGGCGGTCGTAACAATGATGGGTATATCCCGGGTGCTGGTGGCGAGGGCAAAGCGCGCGGCCGCGGTGGCTCTTCTCTGTTGGGTGGGGCCAACGGCCGGCTGGTTGACCGTGGCGGGCGGCTTGGGCATGCCAATGTCGGTGCGGGTGGTGGAAGTGAAGGCCAACAAGACACAGAAAGAACTCGAAGAGGAGGTGCGGGACTGGAAGGGAGTTGTGCTCAAGGTGCTGCAAGCATGGGCGGCCAGGGACGGCCGGCCGGCTGGTCACGACCCAGGTGCGAGCCGGCTGCGGCAGCGCGTTTGAGACGCAGCCACTCGAACATCCACTCGCGGATGTGGGTGGTGCTGATGGTTGTTGTAATTGTGGTGATTATGATGCTGGTGCCGCTGGCGGAGGCGCAGCTGCCTCCGCATCCGCCGCCGCGGCCACCGCTGCCGCCCAACAACCGCCCGCCGCCACCGACGGCACCACCGCCGCCTCCGGCGAGTGACGACAAGCGGGAAAAGATGGATTTGGAGGTATCGATGGCGTCTGGCCTCCTTGTGGTGGTGGTCTGCGTTGTCATTTGTGCTGTGACGATCTACCGGCTGCAGCGGAACCGGAACCGGGTGGGGACCGGGGCGGCGGCGGACCATTACGGATCAGACCCCAGCTCGCGGTACGACCGGCAGCGGTTTGTGGGCGTTGGCATTGTGCCTGACAACCAGGTCGGCCCGTCGATGCTCTTCCCATCGGGCAAGTTTACTTTGCATTCCACCGACGGCAACGTGGTGACGCAGGGCGTGATGCAGGTCTCGTTTGCCGCCGGGCGGGTCGAAGGCTCGGGGCACGACGTCCAGGGCCCGTTCTCGATCGACGGCTTCTACTCGGACCGGACGCAGCGGGTTGCCTGGCTTGCGCTGTACGAGACTGGGACTCACGTCGACTACCGTGGGCGGGCGAACCTGCACGCGCCGACGGTCGGCATTGCCGGGCAATGGACGATTGTGTCCGACTACCGCGGCGGGACGACGACTGACGTCTTCCAAGCCTTTTACATCGACCCCACGGCAAACCCGATCGGGATGGGCACGCAAGTCTTTGCGCAGCAACGCGGCGGCGCGGCGGCGATCCACGGCGATATTCCCGGTGTGGTCGTCCACGCTGAGTCGGCGCTGCAGAACCTGCCGGGCTCGAGGCCTGGCTCGCAGTCGGGCTCGCCAGCGGACGAACAGCAGACCCCGCCAATCGGCCCGCCGCCACCGCCTGGCCCGCCGCGGTCATCATCACAGGCATCCGGCGAAGACTCGGGCTCTGAGGCCGCGGTGCGTCCTCCCAGCTTTCGGCCGGGTCCAGAGCCGGCGGCGCTGGCGCACGAGTCGCGGCGGCATGTCTCGGCCTCGCGGTCGTCCATCGAGATGGACTCGCTTCCGCCTGCATACTCTGAGCCGCACTCGACGGCCACTGCGCCTGTTCCGCTGACACCCATGCCCATGCTTACGCCGCTGGTGGCGACTCGCATGGTTGTTCCACCGATTGGCGCGCCTCCAGCGCCGCGCACCCCGACCTCGGGCTCTGGCGGCTCCGGCGGCGACTTTTACCCGCCACCGCTTTTCAATCCCTCGTCGTCATCACGCAACGACTCTGCATGACTCCATGACAATGAATGGCCTCAGCTAGCCTGTAGACGCCAAGCAAGGCCGAGTGAGGCCGAGCGAGGCCAAGCTCGATGCCCGTCAACCGCGTCACGCCCACACCACGCCACACTCGACTTTGACGCACCCATGTTCCGCTCCCTCACTTCGTCGCGGATGTTCCGCCCGCTCACTGCGCTTGCCCTTGTTGCCCTTGTCGCGCCCTTTGTCGTCGTCTCTGCCAAGGAGGTATGCCCCCCTCCCCTCCCC